TATATATGAATATATACTAATTATTTATTCATTCTATAGCAGTTATTACAATTATTTCGTTTTTTGTGATGGTTAAGTAATTGTAAGAAAAACTAAAACTAAATTCAGTTGATATTTTGAGCCTTTTCCGAGTTAGTGCATCTGGGCAGTTTTACTCTTTGATAGCTGGGGATTTTCTGCAGAGTCCTGTAGAGCTCTGTGTATTTTTTAATATTTAAAATAAATATTAAAGTAAAATAAATATATTTGAGTAGAAACATTTTATGGATGTTTTCTTCTTCAAAAAAATAAATATCTTCTGACTTTAGTGACCTAAAAGTAACTAAAATATTAAGTTATTTGTGAAAGCAGTTAATTGATATAAGTCACATTTCTTAAGAAAAGTTTATTATTATTCTTTAAATTAAATTATAATACTTTCACAAACACTATATATAACTTTAGAAGCCAGCATAAATTTTCTCTATGACACTAATTTGACTAAATCTGGAGCCACCTAATAAAGCTCAGAAGACTACAGGTGTGCAGACCATTCCACCTTACTGATAGTCATTTATAGTTTGGCAAAGACAACATCTTAAAATCGTAAAATGAAGCAACTAACTTCATTATTTATTGTGGAATCTCATACAGATGGTTTTTTTTTTAAATAGCATTTGAAAGACTGTTCAAATTTAAATGTTCGAAATGTTGCCAAATACTCTAAATAAAAATAATTTATATCGTTTAAGCGAGAATATTGTAATAAGTTGTCTCAAGTAAAAGATAAAGACCTGACCATATGCAGATTTCGACATTTCGAATTGAAAAATGCTGGTAATATTATCCGTGCAATCTTGATAAGGAGCAGATACTTAGGAAACGCAGATTACTTAATGCCGATTATGCAAATGCAGAACGCAATTGGCTGAGCATACAAGATCGTTGGTTGGTGTTCACTATTGCATTGCCGCACCACTGCGAAGTTTGAGTATTTGTGCACATTTACATATGCGTACGTCATGAAGATTGATTACATTACCCGTGAAGACATCGTTAAATCCATTTAAATGCAAAAATAAGTCCAAAACTTATTGCAAAACTGCATTTTCATTTGCATTCGGAATCGCATGCAAAGTCCATTGGGCTTCTTGCTGCAAGAGATTTACCTTGGGATTTGCATGACAAACATGATTTTGAGTTCATTTGCTGCTGTTTTGTTGTTGTTTTCGTATATATAACTTTGTTGTATTTACGGTAATTAAAAGCATTTATCAAGTCTAGTTAAGTCTCTACATTGGCCAACCTATGGCAGATTTAAAGTACATATGGCAGCTGCACGCATGAAGTGTTTCTTTATTGCCATTTTAGTCGTTAGATATTTGAGTGTTGAAGAGACTTTTTAGTGCCACACTAAGAAAACTTTATGGAGTTTTAAACATTATGTTGTCACCATAGAATGATTCAGAACTTTGACCAAGTAATTTGATTTAATGTGTTTTTGATACATAAAAATTTGATACGAAGTAATATAATGTCATATACATTTTTTTACAGTTCATTTAATTTAAGCTCTGTTTGTACTTACGGAATAATTATAAAAAGGACAATAAGAATTGGAAGATTGAATAGTCAATTAAAACTTTAACTTCGTTTTAGAGGAAGTAGAAAATATTTTCAGAAATAAAATTGCTTCTCTATTTAATGATGATCTTTGATGCCTACAATGCGAATTTCCTGATAGACTACTTAATCTAATATAAGGAATCAGAAAAACCGATATAGTCATTAATGCATAATAATTATATTATTACCACAAAATGCATTAAACATAAGATTATAATATAATTTATATATATTAGGTAAGATATAACGGTAGAAACATAAGCGTATTTTTGCAGGGACAAGCGTTTGGAATAGGCAACAATTTTTATAAAAACTGAACATGGAAAAAATATTAAAGTATTCAAATACAATAATCATTATCAATGAAGTTCCGTAATATATACTATAGTACCTATTTGCTGCAAAAACAAGGTCATTATACAAACAAGGACTGTCTGCACATACATATAACCTTACCTACGAAACTATCAATTTATTATATACCTATATTGTTTTTAAATTATTTTGAGTATACTTTTAAATGGACACGTCCAGTTATTAACACCTTAATCTAAGTTCATAAGTAACAGACAATTTTTTTTGGCTTGTTTGCGGGAGGTTTTCTACAGAAAATATTTGTTATATCTAAAATTTTTTATGCCGCTCTATTTATTTACATTTGTTTTGCTGTTTAAAACAATATTGACTTCTGTAGGACATTGGACTATAAGACGACATTTAGTTAGGTTTCGATTGCCTAAAACATCAATTCTGTTGATTTTATGTGCTGACACTTGAGGAAGGTCGGTTGTGCCACTTTACAGATATATCCCGATGTAAATTTCAGCACATGATGTTCATTAGACACTGAACTATAAAGCAGCATGCAGCCAGGATAGAACTATTTTATTAGTACTTCAGTAAGTTATATACGCTGGTATTCGAAGAAGACCGGTTTAGTCACTATACAGTTTTATACAGATTCAAATGATTTAAACATACACACACTTGATAAATATCTTTAACATAAAAATTATCCGAATTTTTAGTTTAGAAGAATCTGAAACACTTGGCTTTCTCCTCAAAGTATTGAAAACAAAATTACTTTAGGTAATTGAAGACATGTCAACAGAGCATCGAACCGGAACCGAACCGAAAACCAAAAAAAGGTGATATTTTTGCCGGAACGAAAACCGGAACCGAACCGATATATTTTTTTGTTTTGAACCAGAACGAAAAAAATTTCGGTTTGATGGCCTGCATGAGAACTTCTTCCACTTCAACAGTAATTGTATGATCAACTATTAAACGTAATAGGTAAAATATCAAGTTGTTGAGTATAAAAATAAATTGCAGCTGCTGTAGTTGATTCTTTTATTAAGTACACTAATAGGAAAATAGACAGACTATCCTACTTATCACTATCTAATCTTAGAGTAATCACTATCTGCACGGCGAGGTACGCAGATCTTAGATCAATCACTAAATAATCATGAAACTTATGGGCAATACATAAATTAGTCAATGAGATGGGTGGGACTCTGTTGTACCCCCAGCTATCAAAGAGTAAAAGTGCCCAGTTGCGCTGACTCGAAAAAATGGATCAACATATATATATATATATATACTAATAAGTAAATGTATTGTTTTTAATTTAATATTATCTTTAAGGAATCAAAATAAAGTAACATAGAAATATGTAAAGTTAAATTTTTTTTATACTTAAATAATTATTTTCAATTTTCTTTCATATATATAAAATATATATAATTAAAGCGTTTAATGAATTTATTATCCTATAAAAATATATCTGTTAGCATTATAACTTGCATTATAATATTAATGATTTTGCAGTAAGATTATTATGTTTATGATGGTTTAACTATGAAGGATAAGTTGGGATAAATGAAAAAGTTAATATATTACATGCGTAAGATCATCAAGATATAAATCATAAGAAGATAAGTTTGCCAAACAATACTGTTAGCAGAATACACTTATACTTTGGATCTATATGAACCAGAAAGAAAAAAATGTTCATATTTGTTTCTTAAAAAATTTCACAATAAATTGAGCTGAAACCATAATAATTCTTTCATTAAGTACTCGACAGGGACTAATTTTATTTGATTTTTATTGTGTACCTCAATAAATGTTAAGACGCTGAGAAGATTTACTAAGCCACATCCGACAACAATGTGTGCGTTGTACTTTACTTCTGGAATACTTGAACATGCGATGCAATAAGCATAAAATCTGAAGAGTTCGAACTGAGAAGACAAACGGACAACGGACAATGGACGGACACGCATTTCCAGATGATACATAAGAAGAAATAAAAAAGGCTTTATTGTTATTTGACTAAGCCGACGCGCCAATAAATTCACTTGAAAGCACTGCTTTTGGATTGTAACTGGACAGTGCAGGATTAATGAGGCGCGAGACAACGCTTTGCCGACAAAAAGAGTTAAAAATGTTGTCAGCCAATAACTTGTATCTTGACATTTTCTCATGTTCGCACGATTATGCTCGTCGTTGCTGGAATGATTGGATCTGTCGGCGCTTGCTAAATCGCATCGCATCTCACTGAAACGAATGCAATTGAATTGCAGTGAAGTGAATAGGAGTGAAGTGAGTGAGTTATGCTTTCTGTTGGGATTTGAACGCGTATTCTGTGCTAATTTACCTGCATACAAAAGTGCGACTCCTCTAGCCATATAAGTACTGTCACTATTTACTCCTATTTATGCTACAAGTACCTAGTCAATTTTATGTATAAACTGCAGTACATAGATGTATAGTTCTGCTTATACTGGTAAATATACTATACATACTTATAAGTACTTTTTTTTTTTTATCACTTCTAGTTTAATTTGCTGTCCTCTGTGGAACTGACTATGCTGCAAGTCTGTTGTCCTACGTACACAAAAAAACACTAAAACCAGTTGTTCAGATATGGATTTCTTTTTAATTGTACGTAAGTCGAAGTCGTGGATCTTAAGCATTTCGGTTGAAAATAGTAGATAAAGCTTAGCTCTTCGTCAATGATAAAAATGACAATTTGTGGTATAAAAAGCCTTTTTGAAAAGCGTCACAAATTCGTCGTTGAGATTTAATTGAACAATTGGGATTAATTTAATAATTTACTTTGTAATCAACAACAGTAGAGAAAATTGTACGAATAGAAATTAATAATAAATAATTTTAATTATTTAATAAGAAAATGTATTATATTTAACATAAAAACTATACTGAATATGGAGTATAATTATTGTTACTACATATAGACTTTTATGAAATAACACT